TCTAATGATCGGCACGTCATTAAAGAGGGATCTATCGTGAACTTTATGCAAATGCTAAAAGGGACTTAAGACCACAATAAAGCATTAAGGAGACACAAAAGGAAAAACAACAAAGCACAAACGATTTTTACTTATCTGGCAGTATTCACTGCTTCAGCACTTTTAAATTCAAATGCAGAAAAAAATTCTTTCTGAGATTTTTAACTCTTGCTGCACAGGTAATAATTTTTGCAGAAGCACTATCTCTAAAAATGCATAGGATCTGCAAGGTAAGGTGTGGTCCTTCTGAGATTTAATAAGGATTTCCTCCTTCCTTCCGTATACTGAATTCACTCTATCAAATAAATCAGTAGCTGCCTTTAAAGAGAAAATATATAGCCTATTCTTCAGCACCCTTTCTTTCCCTTTAATTGCAATGATTAGCCTTGTCTGGATTATGGAATGGTTTTAGGAGAACAACATCTATATTCATTTGAAGGGATCTTAGCCTGTAAAATACTCTCCAAATCATACAGTGGAATATTTTCCACTGCCTTAGGGACATATTCCTCAATTACACTGAAACAGAAAGTTGTTCCTAGTTTGAACTGCTTTGTTTGTTGCCTCTTAGCTAAAGTCTAATTAGAAATTTCTTATTCTAAAACCATGTTTAAAACAAGCATGCAGAAAGTATTATGGAAGATAGAAAAAAAAAAAAAGTGACACATTAAAAATGTAGCAACCATCATGCCACTCTGCCAACCTGAATTAGCAAGTGCTATAGCTTTGAGGGTGACAAACTCTTCTTTCTCCAGCTTCATGCTCTTGTATTTCTTTACCAGCTGCAGTATGGCATTGTTAAGGTCAAGAAGGCCTGCCAATTTGGATTGGTCTTCATCCATAATATAATCTTCAGCATATACAAGCTCATCCTCAAAAGAAAGTGACCGGTATACAACACCGAGAATCAAAATCTCCATCCAAGCACTCTGCAGAAGGCTCATCTGGTCAGCTAGAGACAAAGTGGAGAATCCTGAGTAGGGAAAAAAAAAAAAAAAAAGGAAAAATATTAAGCACACCTGGATTTATCAGATTTATCAGAAATCTGCTCCTCTTTTTTATTTTTATATACATTGTGATAAAACATGCATGTAATTCTATTATTCTCTCTTCTGCTTTTGTGCCTCTTCTCCTCTTCCTGTTACAAGAAAGTGAATCAATATAAAATCAAATGTTTTCTAATCAAAACCAAAGTTTTAAACAAGCTGAAATTTGCAGACTCTTCCTGTGAGAATCATAATAATTTGGGGGGTTCTGCAGTGACAGTCTGTGATTTGTATCATGTCTTCTTTGTTCTGAAATAGTTGTGCTTAGTTCTAAAAACCTGATGCTGTGAAATAGGGATCTGCTGATTCTACTCATCACTACCATAAACCAAGAAGGACAATTTAGGAGAGAAAAAAATAAAACTTTTTAAAAGGGAAGATTTGATGTTTTAATAGAATTAAGGTGCCAGTCAAAAGCAGAAAAATTCTCTTTGAACTTTAACCTTAGGGGAAAGAGATGTAACACCCACCTTTCGCAGAAAAGACACTAATCATTTCAGTAATGGCTTCTGCTTCTGCTACACTTGTTGAAATAACAGGGTGGCATATTGAAATGCCAACTGAATAGCAGTCACATCATCCTTTTTCTGAGGGCAACCAAAATTTTAATAAATGCCTCTTAATTAATTTAACTTTTGCTTTTTTTCCCCTCTCTCTGCTGTCCTTCCTAATAAAGGCAAACATCTTTACTGTCTTACCTTTTCAGACTCTTGTTTACAGTACCTGTTAATTTATTATATCAAACTGCTAATATCCCAATCACATTAGGTGCTAGAAAATAATATGGGAGAGGAAGTGATTTTCCTGGCCTGTTGGAGAAATGCAGCAGTTTGCCAGTTGGCACCATCAACCACAAGTACTTAATAAAATCATCAAAGGGGATTAGTCAAGCTTTTCTTAAAGGGTCTTAAGACATGTCTGAGGCTTTCATTTAGTTGTTTATGGAGCTGCTTACATGTCCTTTGACAGGGTTCCCGCTGTAAGAACATTCTTTTTGGCGTTCAATTACACTTAAACGCATTTTTCTGTTTTGAAAGTCAAGAGTTACAGTCAAGCAAGAATATATCATAAACTAGCAAATCTACTCCAAACAAGATTTTCTCTATAAGCACTAAGCAACAAAACTAATACAATAAAAAAAGAAAAGCCCACATCCAAACCACCAGGCATCCATAAAAAATGAAACATAAAACTGGCTGCATGCTCTCTCTCTCTCATTTTTCTCCCCCTCCTTATTTGTTTTCATTTTCTCTTACTGTCTTTTGAATCTTGTGATAGAACTGTAGCTCTCTTCTTTCAAAAAAAAAAAAAACCAACAAAAACTGAGCCAACAACAACAGGAAACCCTTGAAGATGTGACAATAGAAAATAACACATCTGTGATTAAAATAAATAAGAGGGAAATGGAGAAGAAATAATCATTTCAAAGGTTATAGGGAGGAATTCAGGATTTCAATTAGCTTCAACATTTCTGTTCCTTCCCGTCTTTCAAGAACCAGTTTTTCTGCAGTAGCAGATGGACAGAGAATGTAGCCTGCAGCACCGTCCTGTGACAGCCCCATTCTCCCTCCCAGACACCGCTGTTAGTAAATAGATTTACACATTCTCCAATCTCCACACATCTTTCTGCCGAATAATTAAAAGCAGGATGATTAGTTTATTGAGTGGAAGGAGGAACTTTTTTATTGAGGTCCATCCACGATTTTATCAGGGCCAGCACTTTTACGGTTGTCATGAGGGTGCAGGCATCCAATTTTTCTTATCTGCCTGATTAATACAAACGCTGTTTCAGGACGCATTAATTAACAGATACAAATCTACGTTCTCATGGAAGGATCAATACAGAGAAGAAAAGAGGCATCAATGTGAATTTAGTGCTGATGATGGAGAAGGCACTCTATTGACATTTACGTGCATAGAAACTTTAAAGTTGCAGTGGAGCCCTTTTGTCCCTGTGATTTACAAATTAACAATTTTTCAGGTATAACAATGTTTCACACACTTCTGTGGGGTTTAATTAAGAAAAAAGCAATAAAATCAGTTTTGATTAAAAAAGTTTAACCTGCAATTTCTCTCTGTGTTTGTTTTTTTTTCCTGAAAACTCCTCAACTTCCTTTTTTATTTGCTTATCTATTTTAGTACAGGTTTGTTGGCACTGGTTTCATTTTTTTTTATAAATAATACTATGTTTCAATAACATTTATTGTGTGCCACAGTCAAAGGAAATTACATTTGCCCTGTGAGTGGGGGAAATGGGATGTTGACTATAATTTATTGTATTGCACTCTTGAAAAATCTGCATTCTGGAGCAGTAAATATACCAGTTGTTTTTATTTGACACATTAAAAAATCAAAAGAAATTTTTTACATTATAGAAAAACTGGCAAATATAAACCACATTGTTCCACTCTTCAATAATAAATCAAATCAACATGACTATTTTCTTCCTGATCGAAGTAACTTTCCCTTGAAAGCCTATTCAGTGAAAGCATGTTTTAACTTTTAAAGGCATCCCTCGTGGGAATGTAAAGCTGCATCAAGTTGTAATTAATCTGTTTTTGTTTTGATTTTTCAGAAAATGTGAAAGCATTCAGCATATCTCTTGCATCACAGCAATGCCCTTTTAATGTGTATTCAACAAGTCACAGTTAAAAGAACGGATTACACGGGAATATATATTTATATACAGAATAGATTACACAGGCATATATATTTTTATTATATACAAAGATTTATTTTTAACCGTTTGGAGGAGGTTATACTTATTTCACGCCAAAGTCCGAGTCTGCAAGCCTTTGTTATGTGAATGCCCCAGATCAACCACATCCTCCGACAAGTGGACATTTTCTATATTAAATTTTAACTATTTTTTAAGAAGTCTCCACATTGGACGAAATACACTTCCATCTTTCTGAACCAGTGTTAGCCTCTCCAGTCACATCTCTAAGCTCTTTCCAAACCACGCTGAGATGCTGTATAATGGTTTTGGACCTTGTTGTGCATTGTGTGCATCCCTAATCTTTATGAGTCTTGCAGGTCACCGCTTTAAATGTAGAACTGTGTAACAGCTTTTTAAAATACAGTGTTGTGCACCTTTCCCCCCCTTAGCACGTACCATATTGGTGACAACTTTGATCTCTCTCCATCTCCCTCCCCAAGTCAATGCCATTTAATGTATCTCAGGCATTTGCTCGCAGAACGACTCTGTACCTTGACCTGCAGTTAAATAGCATGTTTATCTGCGATACAGCGCACTCCAAATAAACCAGATGACAGTTTGCAGTAACGTCATTTGGAAGGATTGAAAGGCTTCTCAAGAGTCAGGTACCCCTGAGGTAAGAAGCTTGAAGGAAGCATGTTTTGTGCCAACCCTCCTGCCATCCTCTACTAGACACTCGTGTGCTTGACAATGATGCCATGGGCACTTGTCAAGATTTTTTTTTTCTTTTTGCCTAGCAAACTGATGCACTTTGCAGTCAACTTACAAAAAAGGCTAAGCATTTGAAAGTGTGAAGGGCAAAAAATATCTGACGGCTAGTCTTCAAAAATACACTTTCATTTCAGAAAGCATAAATGTTTATTTCCTGAGCTGAGTGTTGACAGAAATAGGCTGCAGCGCAGGCATATGAATTTAACCCCTGGTAGGCATTCTTTTCAGTGTGATTTTTATGTGGCTGAGTGCAAGCATAGTAAATCTACAGGGTGTCTTATACTATCAGTTAACAATAACATTGATTCGCTGGTTACAAATTTTTTTCCTTTTTTTCTTTCTTTCTCTTCCTTTCAGGGACTGTAGTGTTCTTCCGCTAAAAATAGACACTTTTCTACAAAGTGTATCACACTCAAATTGTAATTATGCCATAATGACTCACTGAGTTAACTCAGGGTGGATTGAGAAAAGGTTGATTGAGCAACAGAACATATACTTGTGTTTTTTTTCCTTTTGCATACCAGTAAACCCAAAGCTCAAAGGAAGCAGCAATAAATAGGTAAAAAGGCCTTAACATTTTTATTATAGGAACAAGGGGTGTTGAGCTGACTGCACTCTGCAGCGCTCAGCACTCCAAGCCAGCTCCAAGCACAGTTCACAGCCTCTTCAACAGGGCTGTTTAAACCACAGATCTTTTCAAATATCAGCACATGCACCACTTGCTCTCTATTTCACACTGCACACAGCTCAATGATAAGCAGGGTAAATCTTTTATATTCCTGAAGACCCTTTCCTCTACTTCATTAAGATGGACTTCATGGACACTAACTCACTAGGGGCCAGAGTGAAGCAGCTGCAGATGGTCAAGTGCCAAAGTAAGACCTGTGCCTTGCACACAGTACTTTGAGAACTACTGGCCAAAAAAAAGACAGTGGCTGGACTTATCCCTACCATTATTTTCATCCTTAAACATTCGATACGATGCCTCAATCAGGTTACTCAGACTCAAATCCTAGAGTCTATTTCACTTTGCAGGAAATGAACTTCCCTTCCTTGATCAAACCTGGTATGAAATTGCTGGCAAATCTGGGAGTTGTCTGCTTTTTCTGATAATTGTCTCCCATTTATTTTACCAGTTGTTTGTGTGATTGTTAGCTTTAAGAGTGAAATATTCCTCTTGTTTGCCCTGGTTTGTACTTCAAATATCTTCATTTACATTTTTTATAATCAAAGCTGTGCTTGAAAATGACATGTTCACTAGTGTGTTGCAGATTCAATATATTTACACAGTTGAAATATCAGAGTTGGATTTTTAAATTATTTACACTTAATTTTGATAGATTAACTTCTTTCTAAATGTTTTATGGGTACTGATGTTTCCAGCATAGTTTTTTGGGGGTTTTTTTTGTTCTTTTTTTTTCCAAAATGATGTATAGCCACTACTGTCCAAAGAACAATCTGATATTGTAAATACATTTAAAAAAACCTTTTCTTTTAGCCTGGATTACTTTATTTAGAGTGTGTGTGGCCTCATGGTCAAATGACAAACAGTAAACCAAAAGCTTATCCTGGCTGCACTGAAGAAAAGAAACCCCATTTCAAGATCAGACTTGGGTCCAATGCACTCTCAGATGTACAGCTGTCACTCTGCTCTCTTCTCCCTTCCTGGCACAGACTCAGTGCTTCCTTGGATCCACTGAGCAACTTCAGCTACCTTCCAGGGATGTAAACAAAGGCTAGGGAAATTTCAACGGTGAAATTTCTGCTAGGGCTACGTAATGTTTTCTAGACATGATCATGGTCTTTGCTGAAGGAAAACTTCATAGCCTGACTGCCCTTTACTATTAGTCTCTCAAAAATACAAGGAAGAGAATGGTATTATTAATTTTTTTAGGCTGTATCTAGAGCTGAATCTCCCATTTAGATCAGAATTAAGGGATCCTTTTTATTATATTATTTAAGAAAAAATGGATTTAATTGCATTTCAAAGTACTGTGTAGACTAAAAATATATATAAGGCCCACAAACATTTCAGTGGTTTTGAAAACCGTTAACAGAAGGAGAGTGCTCTCACTAATCACCAAACATATTTCCCAGATTATGGATGAAATTTTGTGAAAGCTGGAACAGAAACAGATACAACTCATTATGCCAGGGTAAATCCATTATTTCAGTTTTTTCTTTTCCCTTTTTTTTTTTTTAATACCTCTTTGCTTATGGAGCCCCTGGTCAAAGGCTAATAATTGCACAAGCTGAAATTTAAGTATGACTGAGAATCTTCACATGAAAAGTGTCAGCTCACACAACAAAAAGCATAGGTAACTGCCCAAACTTGAAAATCACACATCAAGTTCCAAAGCACAAACTAACAAATGACCAGAAATACAACCAAAGGCTCAACTTATGCTGTTTGCTGGATTCAGCTTCCAAGCTCTTTAGAGCTGACGTGCTGCAGTTAAAGTTACATTTAGAAATTAAATCCATCCAGCAAACTTTTGCACAATAAAACCTCCGCCTTTTCAGAGCGCCGCTTTGCTGTGTCGCATCTCCTCTTGCCACTACAGCAGAGCAGTGCAAAAGCAGCACCGGGGCTCTGTTGTGAGCGGTGCTGCGAGTTGCGACTGCCATCTGTTAGCTGTGCAGCCGGGAGAGGGGAGATCAGATTGCACACACAGAGGTGCCCAGGAATCACTCTGTCTCGAATTAAAAGGAAAAAAAGCAAAATGCATTCGTTCGGAGAGCACTGGGATGTTTTCAGCCAAGCCTGTGCACTTTCTCGGGTCTAATTTAAGTGTGTTTGTACTCCTAACTCTTGCTGTCCAAGCTCTTATAAAATATACATATTTTTTTTTATATTTTATAACACAAAAAAATGCCTACGCTAAGCACTTTTTTGCTAACACCTACCAGTAAGACGGGAAATGCCACACAGAGCACTAAGAAACCCCGGGCTGTTATCACAACGCTACTTTCATCTCACTGAAACAACAGCAGAGAGATGGCACGGCAATAAAAATGCATTCACACTGCATGTCCCTCTCAATCCATTACGAACAATGGATTCTCGCTAAGCAAATATTCGGTTGTCAGAAGTATTTGCAACACTGGATTCATTCAGCAGGACTAAGTAAGAGAAGTTCACAGCAATTTAAAAGCAGCAAATTAGACATTTACAAACGGTAAAGATGCTGCTTGTCTAGCATGACCTTTCACTCAGGGTATACAAAAAGGTGTTAATGTATTTTAAATACCAGTTAGAAATATTTCTGGTTTGCCTTTTACCCTGTGAAACCTTACATGATAACACTAAACAGGAGCAATTCAAGCTTGTCATTTCTTCCCAGGGTTAGAGGCACACAGTGAGATGTAACCCACTATAGTTCAAACTGATTTCAGCACTTAAATCAGTGACACACCTCTCTAATCACCCACATGTTTCCAGGCAGCTACTTTTAAATTTCTTATTTCTAGTTACAGTGCAAGTTCTTGTGAGCTCCTTCTTTAGCATTAGTAATAGAAAGGAGCTGGAAAATATGACTGATTAAGGGTATCTCTCTGACTTCACATAACCAGGTGCTAATTCTCTCCAGGGAAACACTAAAGATTAAAAAAACTAATGAGGCACCCTTGCTTCAGGACAGATTCGGTAAGACCTCCATGTATGGAGCACTTTATAATGGCATTTTTGGAAACACAACGGTTTGAAATATTGTACTCTTTATTTTATTAATTTTTATTTCACGCGTTATTTCAGTATTCACCAAGAAAAAGGAAAATATAAGACAATAAATTTAAACATATTAATACTTGATTTTCCTTTTGGCCTGATTTTACCACTGGAACTTCCACAATTTTAAACAGCTTTACTGCAAACTCATACCAACCTTCCATTAAAAAGATGCCAGGCCAAACACTTATATTTTGCTTTATTACCAGATGCTCTGAGAACAGAAGAGGACCTGATAAGTAGGAAACTGCCTTCCCCCCTTCCTTTTTTTTTTCTCTGTGTAAGACAGTTTAATCTTCTGGGGCATTACCTTCTCTGAGGAGAGGTTTAGAATTCTAAGATATGGACAACGAAAAAAGTTTTAAAATTCAGACTAGCAGTGCAATATGGCCCAGTGAAGCTGTAAGTCTCCTTAAGGTCAGCAGTATGAACTCGCAGATTCCTGAGGGTGATCTTTTTAATGCTCTACATATGTGATCTGATCTGCTTCTTTAAAGTTAACTCTTCCAGTTCTTTAAAATTTAACCTTCAAACATAGTTTTGCTAGACTATGGGATTTAGTGTCCTCTACTGAAGATAGCAGAAGCAGATGTCATGACACAGTGTGCTCCGAAAACCACAGAAGAAAAACGAGCAGGACTGTATTTATGACCCTGATTGTTTTCTTTCACTGAGTCTATATACAAAAAACATGAATCATATTTTCAACATAAATATTGATGTCACCCAAATTGCCCTTCAATTTGTTGTGAATGTACATATTTGAGTGTAACTACAATAAAGCCAGATATGTGGGTGAAAACATAAAAAGTACATTCTGTTACTAGTAAAGTGAATGTAGATGAAAAACCAAGTGTATATCATGAGTATGGCTGGATCCCTCTCAAAGTCCAGCTGAGAGAATGGTAACACAGTTCAGCTTAAAATAGTAAGCATAATATCTGCACATCCTGTGTATGGTTGCCTTACCTGGATCCTTCAAAGAGTTTCAGCTACCAGAAATGGAACTATGATCACACATAATTTAACAGAAAGTGTCCATCCTTCTTCCTTCTTTTTAATTTTTACTCAACTAAATTAAATTAATAATAATAATGAAAAAAAAAGGCACAAACTTGACAGAGGAACCTTGCTAAACTAATAATAACAATCAACATTCATTCAGGTTCTGCTCACTTCAACCATTGTGTGCATCAGCCTCCCAAAAGTTGCGTGCACTGACTGGGAATATCAAGAAATTTAGAGTTCAAGCTTCTTCAGCATGTTAGTCTTCAAAACCAAGTTTTCTGGATTATAAAATAACACTAGTTTGTTGGGGTTTTTTTTTTCACAGAAAGGAGGAATTTCTTGTGCATTTAAAATGTTGCCTTTTATTTATAACCTCTACAGGTCTGCTTTGAGAGCACTTTTCCTCAGAGTGCTGGGTCACTGCTGTTTGCCATTTGCTCCCCTGGGGAAGCCACCAGTCATTTCCTCACTGAAAGCTGTGGCAATCCTTGCTCCCTCCATCTTTCCATCAGGCAAAGTCAGGTTTCCAGGAATTCCCCAATCATGTTACTAATATGAATCCAATACAGGAATGTATTAGCATACGGAGACAACCATGCTTGCGATCCAATCAACGTATCTGTGTTAACCCTGTATGTGCTGGGCTACCTAAAATCTCTCTCCATTGCCAAAGCAAAAACTTCAGGTTGCAAAATGTTGGGTAAATATCCCCTTTCACCCTCTGGCAGGAAAATGACAGCTCAGACCACTGCCCTACACATCTTCCATCTTCTTCCCAATTTTTAAAACTTTTCTGTTGGTTAGTTGGTTTTCTTAATGTGCTGCAGATGCCAAAAAATTCAAATGATGTTTACAATCTCCCTGGTTTGGGGAGAGCCACACACGTTCTCCGACAGGCACGTGAAATTTCTAGTTTACCTAGATGAGTGTGTATGTACCATTAAGATCATCTCTGGAGGCTGTGTCTTAAGTCTACAACAGTCCACACACAGGGAAAAAAAAAAGAAAAAAAAAGAAAAGGAAAAAAAAAGGAAGCTGCCTGATTCTAATACACCTAATTAGCCATCGGCAGACTCTTAATTGCATACATTAGGATGATTCCATAGTGGAGATTAATTCTAAATATACCCAAGCAGCTGGTTAAGATGCCATGGATTACAGTGTGGACTGTACTTTTCCACTTAATTAGATATCAAAATTAAGCAGCAACAAGCATTTTGACATAACGGGGATCAAGCCGCCGCTTGGCATCCCAGAGCTGCACTAAAGTGACCGCTAAACAGAGCCGCACAGATGGAGAGATATTAAATGCCGCACTGGAAAGTAATTTCAAATAATAAAATATCAATATTTACATTTTAATTACCCCTACTGAGAGCCGCTCTGTCATTTTCACTATTGCCGACGCAGCAAGGGGTAGTGGAATGACATTGCGGCTCTGACTGCAATGACTATTTTGTTTCCATTAAAGAATGACAAGTGTTTTAGAGGCAGTGACACCCAGTGTGTGAACAAGAATGACAGCAGATCAGAAAATTCCTATTAAGGGAATAAATGACTCAACAAGAGAATTTACTTCAAGCAGTCGGCTCCTCCTTGAAACACATAATCCTTTCTATATTTTCTGCAGGAAGTTTATTATTAAAGATGCCTTGGAGAAACCTTGGCTTCTCATCAAATATTTAGAACGATGGGACCTTACATGATGACTGGTCAATTTAAAACCAGTAATATTCAATGTTTATCCTATCTAAGAGTTATATTGAGAGTTTGTATGAATCAAAATAGTTTCAGGGAGGTGGAAAGGCCCATAGTGAAAAGGAGATTCCTTCCCGTGAGACCTGAAAGTTTTGATGGTGCATGGAGAACACCAAGGTTACTTTTGCTGTCTTTTCTTCACCAGTTTTACTCCCACTGGAACAGTGAGCATTCCACATCCCACCTCGATCACAATTTGCTAGCCTTCAGAATTGTACCCAGTTGGTCACCACGAGTAATATGCACATGCACAGGTTCAGGCCTCTTGTTTCTCCCTGCATATTCCTTGCACATATATAAACACTTTTTCTTTTGGTATGTACATCAGAGATCTGTGAGACACCTTTGCAGCACCTTAGGAATCTAATTACTTCTGATCAGGTCTGAGGTCAGTCTCATGGAAAATATTATATTACATCTGACATGCTGCATTTACAAAGATGAAAAGGAAGGAAGAAAAATATCAAAACAGTAAAGAAAAAAAAAGTCTTCCTTGGGGATGTCTGTCAAACAGCAGAGATCTTCAAAGAATTTCAATGGCCTCAGACATGAGAAAGTGGGTAAGAGTAAATCCTTGGTCAGTACACCCAATACGCAGCTAAGTGACCCTCCTCCTAAGTCACGGTATGCATTTATTTAATAATGTGCAGAGCTCAACTTCTATAAATGTGACAAATGGCTAGAACAGAGCAGAGGGGAAAAAAGGCATGAAGATTTTTACAGAACAGAAAAGGAACAGCTTTATGGTAGTGACTATTGCAGGAATTTTAGATGCAGTTTTGACATTAAGAATTAGCAGTCAAGTACAAAAACCTTACTCTGACATTAGCTGCTTAACTAGTTGATTTTCTTTTTCTTTTCTTTTTCTTCACTTCTTTTTCTTCTTTTTTTTTTTTTTTTTAAGTACCCAGGAAGTACTTCTTAAGCATTCCTAATGCTTTTAGGACAAGACACTTCCCCATTTCTCAGCCACTAGCACCTTTTTAATTTCTGAAAGAGCCATGGTTGAAAATCTTAATTAATTGTTCCATACTGCTTCAGGATCATTATGCAATGTAATAAAGGCCGTGTAATTATGAAATTTTACAGCCATTACCAAGGCTGATGGCTCGTATTTCATCCTCAGCTGGACCCAATGGCTTTTAGCCACTCAGCTCCCCTTTGATGAACTACAGACAGATCTATCAGGCCCAAACAATATCCAGGCAAGGCGGCTATAATAGCTACCTACAGATGAAGCCATAGATAAAGATAAACTATAAATCTACACACAAATGCAGGCACATTGCCTCAGGATGACAGAGGGGAGAGGATGAGACACTTGGGAAAGCTGGCGGCTTGCAGAAAGGCAACCTTCTCTGTCTGTCTCTTTTATTCAGTTTGGAATTTGTTTGGTTTCTTAAAGATGTGAAACCCTCTCATACTTTCCCCCCTCAAATTACATATTTTTTAGGGAGTATGAATTTTTATATGGAAGGTGAGGGGTCGCTTTATCCATCTATTAAATTTGACACAGGGGATTTATACGGACAAATCAACTCATCCTCCAAATGAAGAATCCCAGTCAACAAGTCTGCAAATCATATTCTTAAAAGTGAATCCAGGTCACTTGCTTCCAAGACTGAAAAGAGCAAAACATCCCTGATTTCTAAATGCATTATCGTGAGCAGATGCACAGAGGTGAAGTTAGATGATAGGCTTTCACTGGAGGCAGCACCGGAGATGCAATTTCATGCAACATTGTCTGACATTATTTTATTTTCAGTCTTAAAATGAAAATACTTCTAAAAATTCAGTGCAAGTTAAAGAAACAATGGTATTCTATATGCTCTTGGTACCTGCAACACCAGAATGCCGTTTATGGAGGTGACCTCCATCAACGCCCTCTTTAATTTAAGACAGGAGGCCTTCCGAGTATGCATTGTTAGTCCCTCCAAAGTGAGACAAGGCTGACTAAATGATCTCTAGGTGAGAAAAAGAAATTGAGAGATGCATCATCCTGGCCAGTTCTGAAAGAGTCCAGGGAAGAGTGTGAAAACATTAGCTTGAAAACTGCATCTATTAGTAGCCCTTTCAGTAGCCCATAGTTAGTCATGAAGCTGATGCCATGCTCATGGCTGAGGCTAAAAGCACTTCAGAAGGCAAGAAAAGTTAAAATGAAAATATCAATAGTACTCTCTGATTTCTAACAGAACAATAGAATGGCTCATTCCTTTCCATAGAAAATGTGACAGATTTAGAGGAGGTTCAGTGAAAGTAAAGCAAAACATTGTGTCCAAGAAAACTCTTAGGAAAAGATGCAGAAAGCAGGAATTTTCTTCCTCAAAATAGTGATTTATGAGATAATTCAGTAGAAGTATATATAAATTAATGATACAAAAAGTAGGTCTAAAGATTTTATTCTGTCTTATAACACAGACCAAACACCATCACAGTAAAACTCAGGAAATGCAAAATGAAAGGAAGAAGGGAAACTCTTCATCCACAGTGCAGCTGGAATGGAGAACTTCTTGCCAAAGGATGTCACTGAATCTAAGAACTCAAGAGAGGGAGCTAATGCTTACATGGATGGCCAGAATAGCTCCAGGTATAGTATTCCAAATCCAAATTAAAAGGACAAGAATGTTTTTCTTCCTTATTTCATCTAATTTCTGAGCATAAAGAATTAGAAAAAATTTTCCTGAGGCTTCTGCCTACCATGGGTTCATGTCTCCCCCTCTGAGGCTGATCACCGCTAAAGACAGCAGAGTATATATGGATGACCTATAGCATTCAATTACTAGTTTCCCAAAAACTGAAGTCTCAGAATTTGGGCTGCCTTTCTTTGAGGTGTTTGGAACCTACTCCTACAACTGGAGTTCAGAACAGAAGAGCTTAGAGAGATGTGCCCCAGGCAAAGAATTTCAAAATCACAGCAACTGAGCTCTCACTCTACTGCTACGGTAGAAAGACAAAAATAATGGATATGGAAGATCTGTGGTGTTATCACAGACATAAAGGCAGATAGGTATACGTATTAATGTGTGTTTGCATAAGCCTGTATATGCATGCATTTGTACTAAGCAAACCAAGGGTATTCCAAAAGCTATCAAAATGAAGAAAGATCACCTGCTCATTAACTTGTATTCCCTGCTTATTAAACATGTCCTTTCTTTTAATATAAAGAACTGTCTTGCTGAAGGACAAAAAAGTAATGTAATCACCCAGGTCATATCAGAGAAGTATCTTCCGAAACAGGGAACAGAGTCACAAAGGGTCACTGATCAACAAAGCTGCAACTGAAGACAGGCATGGGAATGTGTGATTCAGGTTCCTCCAGCGTAATGCTGAGGATGCTTGATATATGGTCTTTTAAGGACCACTATCTGCTGTTAACATGCTTTATTGAAACTGCACATATGGCAGGTATTCACTGTACATGGTGTGCATTGATCTGTTCCTTGCAGTGCATGTGGAAGCATCGTAAACATTCTTACTGTGGAAAATAACCCAACCAAACCCAAATCGAAAGGTTTAAGCACATACAGTACATTAGAACATCTACATACTAGATTATACAGACACTGCTAGACTAGGAATCCTGGACAGGACTTTAAATTGCCTTCTTATGCTCTAGTACGTTACCAGAATTAAGTGAAGACCTCAGTTAAAGCCAGTACTATGAACATTGAAAAGACTGGATGTAGACAAAGAAGATGGCAGATTTTTTACCTTCTCTACTTCCCATCCAGTTGACTCATTTAGCCAAATTAGCATCAACCTCATGGATAGGCTCTGTAGCTTTACCTCTTTTTCTGCTCCCAATCACTCATATCAGTAGAGTAAAAAGCAGCTACAAATATACTCAGCAGGAGCATTTTTCAGAGCAAAAACTTCAAGTAAGAAGTAAATGCAAAGATGTTATTTCTATTTCTATCGGAGGCAGTAATGCCAGTTTGCAACATCAATTTAATAAAAATAATGATGATAATGTGAGAAAACAAGAAACTCCATCCTACAATTTTATTCTACAAAAGAAATGCATGAAGTTTTACTCTCCTTGGTAAATGTCTAGTCTGTCAGAGAATGCATATCAGTATTCCATAATTTAAGATTATTGCAATGATTTTAATGAAGTATGGCAAAGAATTATGTGCAGAAAGTTAATTGCTAGTTTACTACAAGCTATCTTGAAACAGAACTGGCTGAGGCATAGTAAGACAAAGTTTATTTTTGCCAAATATGGATTACTGCAAAGGAAAAGGGAATTAGCACTACGTATTTTGTGAAAGACTTTCTTTTCAGTATTGGCTTAAAATATTTTCCTTCTTCAAGTGATTTTTTTTTTAAATAAACAGCTACATGTATCTTACATATAAGTATAAAGTGTTTTTAAGAAATCTGTTTTAGAGAACACAGAGAGGTTTTGCTAAGACTCAAAAAAAACACTAACTGCAATAAGATCATACCTGGACACAGAAAAAGATATTAACATAAGTACAGATGAAAAATGGAAGAGAAACAGAGGTATAATTGTATGTTTTCTCTTTCAATATTCACCAAATGGGGCACAAATCTTAGCTGCTATAATGCATGCCATGCTTTACCCTGATTTTCTACACTTGGTATTCCCTAGCTGAATTGTTTCTGAAGTCCATGGTGATTTTTTCCACAGCAAATCAGCAGTTTTTCAAGAGGTCTCTGTGCAACCCAGGAGTATGACATTTACTAATGTGTTGAGATTCAGGGATTCTCCTTTGTAGAAGCCAACACTAATAAGAAAGATATGGTTCAGTGTCCTGGGTATTCTTCCCAGTTTTATTAATTAGATGGAAAGCTTCTCCCTCTGGAATACTGCAAGGTATTTATTAACACTTCAGCCCACAAACTAGAGTAAATTTACAGTAGTGGAGGTAATTGTTACATACACCGGCTCTTGTTATCAACTTGGCAGGGATAAGCAAAAAAACCTCCAGAGGTTTAGATTATGATCTTTTTCATGATATTTTAATTGTGCTTCTTAATCTGCTAAATTAAAAACTATAGTACAATCTTATTCAGATCACTGACAAAAAAGATCATATCAATTTGCAACAAAATGTATGAATGCTCCTATCTCTTTTAATTATACAAAGAATTTAACAGTCATATTCAATATGGCCATAGAGTGCTAAGATACAAACTCTTCCTTTTACAGTTGGGCCATCTTATCCCTTAGCACCTTCACATTTTATTTCAAGTCTCTCATCTTTTAATGCACAAGACACCCTTCCCTAGATGATCTTTAATATCATCACCTTCTTTCTCTTCCTTCATGTTCAGTATGATGAGCTACTCCCACAACTATGTCTCAGCAAACTGACTGATAATGACCAGGCAGGCACTCAATAATATCTCAGTTACTCATGTGCTTTACAAAGAAGAGTTAGGTATGCTCAGAGGTACTTCGTGTAACCATGTTTCTCTCACCATTGCTTTCAGCCTTCCTTTTCTTTGCATTCTTCTGCTATCAGACCCTCTTATTCCTTCTGGGAACCAGCAGGTCAATTTAGAATGCCACCAGCAATGCCCTCTCTTGCACACTAATTTACCTACACTTTTTTTCACTATGCTGGTCTTGGTGCCCTGGAAAGCTTAGAATTGGGCTTCATTTTGCATGCCTTACCAACCACAAAGTGTTGGGCTCTACCATCTGGTGTTTGAGCGCTATTCGTCAGTAGTTCTATAAATTACACAGAAAGCATGGTTGTGCATTGTGTGGATGTGCCATTAGAGGGTTCTAAACCAAAATTTTAATGTGCAAACACCACTGGATCATCTGTTGTTTCTTTGGTTTTCTTCTTGTCCCAGACATTTGCTTTCAAATGGCTTTTCTTATTTATGGATGTTATGTGCTCTGTCTCAGTGATCTGAGAAGGAAAGAGGTGAGAATTTAGTCATCTGTTCTGTCAAAACATCATGTTTGCTGGGCTCTCAGGCAATTCTGGGTATCAAGGCCAAATCAGCACCAAATCAAGGAAACAGCAAGAACAGCAGCCATGAGAAGTGGTTCCAAAAGCTCCTTTGTAATAATTCACTGCTGCTGTGATTGGTTTTGTAATATAGTTCTACTTGAAACATTCTATGTATTTGTATTTCATTCCTTCAGGATCAAAGTAACAATTAGATTGACAATGGATCCCACTTAGCTATCCTGATTGCATAAGGCACATGTCTTTTATAGCTGGCACTTGCCAAACAGCTAACTAACTTAATAACGTCAGGAGTTTTCAGGAGCATATCACAGATGATGTCAGAGGCATGGGTGAAGCGTGAGGTACATTTATATAGGAAGAATATGAGGAAGAATGTGGTGTCCCAAATCTACCAATTACTTTCTCTGTGATTCTGCTGGAGTCACGAAATCCCTCTCTGTCTCAGTCTTTCTGTGCAAGCGACAGATATAAGGTATATACAGATACTAATTCACAGGGCTGCTATGCTATTTTATTCATTTAATGTTTGAAAAGAACAAAAAATATTTTAACCAAAAAAGGTCTACAAAGTACATTCAACATTTCTGAAAAGTGTATGAAATGGATGAAGGACTAAAATGTTTGGAAAAGGATGGATAAGGTCTAGATCCATAGTATATAAAAGAAACAAAGTGGTGATGCATTGTGCTCACATCTTTCAATCCTAACATGCTGTGAATCATATTTAATGTTTTAAAGCTATAGCTTTCAAAGGACTCCAAAACTGGAGGTATGAATCAAGGTTTCACCATAAGGAAGTCAAGTGATTTGACCAAGGTCATATGGTAACTCAGTGTCAGAGTCAAGAAAGGTAGCCTTCAGCTTCTAGTGTTGGGGTATCTTTACGGATTATGGCAGATCTTTACGTCTGATTGAACTAAATCCCTCTGAGGGCCAGTTGAAAGTGTCCTGATCACACCAACAGATTCTGAATCAAACCCATGTAATGAAACAGCCTCATGTTTTCTCATACTTTGCCCACTAGCCAATCATGAGAAATAAACCAAAAGGACACAAAGAGGAAGTGCTAAAGTTGAGAAATACAAAGGAGTTGGAGATGCCTTCTACTAAGGTGACCATTATTTCCCCATGTATTTTTATGGAAGCAGGACTATGCCCACAAAATGAATGTGTTAGGCATTGC